AACATATGAAAACCAATTTAACTAACCGTATATTCATAAAAATGAATAAAATTTAAAGTATTTTATGATTTACTATGAGATTTTTAATTGACAAAATTTTTTAAAAATTAAAAAAGTAAAAAATAAATATAAAGCTAATTTTGTATAAAATTTAAACATTTTTATTTTTACATGCTTTGAATTTTTATACTATTAAGTAATTATTACTTAAATTTAATTAGGTAATTAATTAAGTAATTATGCACATTAAATTTATTATTTGGTGACGAGAATGATAAATTTATTCATAATTTAAATTAAGAATGTGAGCCCAAAAAATCTCTACAACATTAGCAGGTCAATTTTGTTGATTTATTAGAAAATGTGGTCAAAGGGTACAGGCCAATAAAGTAATATTAATAAATTTGTTATAATTTTATCTGTGTAGATATTACCTTAATTTGATGTATTAATACTTCCAATGTATATTTTGTCCCTTACAAACCCAAAAGTATTTTTTAATTAAACCAAATCTGGACACCAAAAATAAAATATCACAAGTTTCTACTGATAAACAGTATTAATATGATTCATCAGAAGTTCTAAAAAGATGGATTGGGTTAGATTTAAATTGCAGTAGAATGTTCTTAAATAGAAAATAATAGTTAAAACGATTTTTACAATTTTTTCTAAATCGATAGAGATACACTTCAATTTGTAGTTGTATTTTGAGAAACATCATTAAATGTGTTTTTGTTACATATAAAAATTTAAACTGTTGAAGAGTTTTTAGCTAAACTTTTTATAATTTCACATGTTCATTTTTCATCGACAATACTCTATGAAACATTTTTCTGAGTGTTTGTCTGTATAACAATGTAAATAAAAAAATTAATACTCAAGTGACAAAGTATATATCATTAAAAATTTCGTCTATTGTAAAAAAAGTACTGTTTGAAAACCAATCCAACAATTCATTCAAATTGATTATTTTCAAATATATCAAAATACTGCTTGATAAATATTAATTGGTAAATAGAAAAAAAAAGTTGTATAGTTGTAAATATCTAAGAAAGTTTTTCACTGCCCCTTAAAACGAAAATAATATATCGTCACTATGCAATTATTTTAGTCGTAGGGAATATGTTACCCAAATTACCATAGTAATTAGGGGCGATCGGTTTCAAATGTAAGACTTATTATATTTGTAGCAATATCTCGTAAAATAATTATTAAAAATGTATATATTTATTAATACAACATTTTACTGACTTAAGATTGTTTGGAATAACAAAATGTATAAATTCGCCAACAAACAGTGATAATAAATTTGAATGTATTAAGTAACAATAAAAGAGAATGTATAATACAAATAATAAAATATATATCATCGAATCCCAATTTAAGTGTTTATTTATTTACATAGATGATCATGAAAATTGTATATTTTGTAGTAAAAAATCGCACTGTAACAACAATATTATGTGCCTATAGCTACTGTAATACATGTTCTATTGATATTAAAATGAAATATAAAATGATGTGCTATAATTGTGGTATAAATTACACCACTGAATGATTGGCTATGTACTGATTAAATTTAATATAAATGATCTATCTAGCAGGAAAAATTCTACCTTATCAATAAAATATTGTTTTTTTAAGCTTATTTTGGCTAATTACACTAAGGTTATTNAATACATGTTCTATTGATATTAAAATAAAATATAAAATGATGTGCTATAATTGTGGTATAAATTACACCACTGAATGATTGGCTATGTACTGATTGAATTTAATATAAATTATCTATCTAGCAGGAAAAATTCTACCTTATCAATAAAATATTGTTTTTTTAAGCTTATTTTGGCTAATTACACTAAGGTTATTAAGATCATATGCACTTCCTTCAAATTGTTGTGTAAATCGTTAGTTAACATTTTTATTACTAATAATTTAAAATTTTAATTGTATCTAGATATTGTAATACAATTAAAATTCATTCAAAAGATAATTGAAGATATTAGTATCGTAATTTTAAAAAATTCCCCTTAGTCATAGTCCTGCCTAAAATACTGGAACAGTTTAAAAAACATATCAACTTTTTTTTTAATTATTGATAATGTTTTAAAATTTGGCCGACCCCAAGTAGTTGGGATTAAGGCGAGGAAGAAAAAGAAGAAGATTGATAATGTTCTAAAAAATCAATTTATTTAATCCTAAATTTTTATAAAACTATTACAATGTATTTTATGATGAAAAAATAAAAATAATTCTAAATATCGATCTCGATCTCTAGTAGTTATCGGACATTGAATTAAAAAGTGGTACTTAAGACAAGTGCCATATTTTCAACATAGTTTTTTAAATCTTATCATTCTTACGAAAGTATTGAGGAGGGCATAATTATTATATAAAATTCATTTATTTTTAATTTTTATGATCTAAAACTTGATTTCTTATACCTACATCAAATTGAAAACAATACAGTGTATTATGAGATAAAAAAAAAATCTATTCAAAAACTCTATTTCTAGGTGTTTTTGAGTATTAGAGCAAAATTCATACAATTTTCGGAAAAAATAACTAACATTGTAATATTTTACATAGTAACGGAATATATCATTCTAATTATTTCAAATTAAAGTTCTTTTAATGTAATATATGTATGATTAAAAAAGAAAAACGTTTTGGTACACTTGCCAGTGTACCAAAACGTAGAGTTTGCCAACTCTAAAGTTAAAAATCTTGTAATTTTTAGTAAATATTAAAAAAAAAAATTTACAACAATGATTTAAATTATTGTCAGTTATCAATCAAAACTAATCTAAAGAATGCTTCAACTCCACTTTACTGTATTTTTCTTTTTTATACATTTAATAATACGAATTTTTATTTGTGTAAAAAATATTGTTAGTATTTTATTTTTATTTTTTTGAAGTTTGTGACGACTGTCATATTGAACTACCTTGTGCGACGTTAAAAAGTTATAATCATCACGTTTGCCGCTTATGTGTTATTATAAGTGAATATGCGAATATGTGAAGATTATAAGTGTTATATCTGTCATTAATATATTGTCTGTTATCAGAAGTTTGGTACGTCACATGTTTGATCAAATGTAAATCAAATAAACTATTCAGTCTGTAGAAATGATGACTATAATTATCAAATTATTATACTTAATTCTCTAAACAAATAAAAATATAACTTAATTAATTATCAACATGATAGTTATTTTAAAATAAATTAAATTGATAACGGTAAAAAACTTTTTGAAGAATAATTTTAGCTACAATGAAAACAATAAATAAAATAAAAGTTTGCTATAAAATTAGTAGTACAGAATAATCAATTAAGAATGAACATCCATTTTTTCCAAAAATTACTTAATATTTTTAATAATTGTCAAGGTAAGAAACTCTACAATAAAATGTAATTCAATTTTTTTTTTCACTACTTCAAAGATAAAAAATCTAAATTTTCACTTTATTAAATGTGAACCCATATTATTAATTGTATGATTCAATAGAAAAAAAATAATAATTTTGTTCTTGTAATTTTTTTTCATCTGATCAATTGTTTGAATTTTAAAATTTTTAAAAGATATGAATTTAAAATAAAAATTTATCATTAATTTGATTTTTACTGTACTAGTAACAATAATAATCTGTTTCAATGCATCATAAATTATCATCAGTATTTATTTTTACTATCGCAAGCGACAAATATAAAAAGAAGAATTGTCAATAAAAACTTGTTTATCTGACATTGTGGAGAAATAACATCTACTGTACACTAAACAGCAAATTATCAATCGAAAATTGGTCAAAAATTGCTTAACTTTAATAAGCAATAATAGAAAATCGGTTCATCCAAAAAAATATATTATAAGAACTAAATGAAAAAAAAATTATATCATATAATTAAACTACCATAAGTATGAATTTTCATTAAGGATAATTAAAATTTAGGTTTTTTAAACCTGACAGAATAAAAAAAAAGTTATTTCACTACATATTATTGAAAAGTTTTTTGAATCACACAATTTGTTCGTTTACGAAAATTTATAATGATCAATAATTTCCAAGAAAACTGTTAAATAAATTTCTAATCGATCGCCTGTAACACTTATATTTTGAAATTTTTAATTGACTAATTTTTTTCATTTGTTTGAAGATCAACGAGATTTGAAAAATTCGCGAAAATGTGTGTATTGTAAAAAATTAAAAAATAAAACATACTTGGGTAGAATACTCTTACGAATATTTTTTTGAATCATTATATTAAATCTAAATATTATTTTATATTTTAATTATCAAATAAAATACATTATTCATCCCAAAAGAATTAAAGTTGATGTTCAAAAATTTTAAATATTGACATTTTGTAGAATTCTTTTTGTCTAATTATTTCTAAATATGTTGTAAATTACAACAGTACCAAATACTCTTACTTAAAAAATAAATTTTAAAATTAAAATTATGATATTTAGAATAAATTTACATCCCTTAAAATTCACAAGTATTGAAAGCTATATAAATCGCAATCATATACAAAAATCAATTTTTTTCTTAGATATTCTAATAGAGAAAAAAAACTGCTGCAATACATACTTTTATCGATTTTCAAATACACAGAGCGTGATTTCAATCACTTATATGTGAAAATACCAACTTAAATAATAAAGAAATATACTAGTTAAGGAATGATATACCATCTATATTTCTCTCATGTCTTTCTTAATGACAGTAGTTCTCTATAAACCCAGGTTGAATTTAAAAATCCTTTCGTTGTTGAACTTGTTTTATTATTTTGAGATATTGACATAATTATACTATGTCTCATCATGTTATAACTTTAAGTATGTAACCTTTGAAGTAAAATTTAAATAAGTAGCTAATCTGCAAATTTTGTATGAGTGTAATATCCTATATTTTAATAATAATTGTACAGAATTAATAAATATAATTTGTATAATTAAACGGATTTATGGCTTATTGTAAATATTACTTACACAGTTAAAAACTATATGTATTATTTTTATTTTGACTGAAATTTTTTAGATAAAAAATCACATAAGTTGATCAAATGTCTTAGAACGTTAACATAAGAATAAAAATTGTTTGTAAAAGTGTTCATATACTGTAAGTACTGTTTATAAAGACCACTGATGTGTTATTGGACTGAAGTCAAAACAGTCAGGATGTCCTTCATGTGGAACACTGTGAGAAAAGTCAGATTTACTCCAACAAAATGGTCCTAAAGTGTTATTGGTACCTTGAGTAGGACCAGCGATAGCTTTGAATTGTAAATTTTGGAACAACTGACTTGTAGTAATTTTCACATCAGTCGATCCATGTGATCGGTGACCCAAAGCAGCAAAAGGATAAGTACCATTGGCAGGATTTAAGTCACATCTATTAAATAACACATAGGTTTTCACATGTGGCTTACGTATTTATGAAATTAATATCAAATACCTTGCAGATATAGCGTTTTCTGCCGAATATGGAGGATTGCAATCACATGCCGACTCTGGATCGTGTTTATAATCATTTGATCGCATCACGTGTAACATACACTTGTCACAATGAATCTTAACGTGGTCTCTGGCAAATATTCTAGCCCTGGGAGTATTTTTATACGAAAACCTGATAAAACATTAAAAATGAATACCCACGAATATGTACGTATTTAATAAAATCTGTAATTATTCAATTTGATATTTTATTTTGACAAGAACAATGAAAGAACTTAATCACGTGAAACGTGATGAATTTTAACTATCATTATAAGAAAAAAAACTTTCTATCTATCTATCTAATCATTAAAAACTGAGTTAAACGATGAGATAAGTTCATGTAAAAGATGAATAAATAAAGAAGTTAAATAATTACCATATTTTTGTGAAAAAATACTTAATTTTCGTGATCTAATAAAGAATCAGGACAATCGAACACTTAACTTATCGTCCCGGAATAAAAAATAAAGTTTTAAGGTACATATATTGCAAACATGTATATTACAAACAATGGATGAGATTAATGAAAAATTTGTTCTAAAACTAAAATATTTAAAAAAAAAAAATTAAATTATGAAGAAGGATATTCAATTGAAGATGGCATTGAACATGGGATAGATTTTTGAAGTATATTTATTTAAAAAAGGAAAGTTTAAATAATTAATATTTTATATCGTAGAAGAAATAAAGTTGAATAGTTACATCAAATAAATTACAGTATCCTTAACTTCAAATGGAGGCTACTGATAAACTGTTAAGCATAGTCAGTCATACAGAACGACGACACCTTAACATCAATATTTGTAGATAAAAGAATGATTAATTCCTTACCAATCACCATAACGTAGTTGCATGTCATAATTTCCACTCACATTAAATATGAATGGAAAAGAAGGTACATTGTAGCTAGCCCAATATGTTCGGTTGATCAAATGCTCAGTTAAGTCATCCGATTCAACATAACCAGGTAATTGCTCAAGTATGTGTAGTAAATCGTGAGAGGGTGTCGGACCACCAGATTTGAAAGCAAAGTAGTTTATAATCATCCACTGATTATTATATGTACCACTATTGTAACGCTTGAATATTTTTACCCAATCGGCAGGACCATAAGCTAATCTATTTGCAACCATAGCTCTTACAAATTCTAATACCTATTAATCAGTAAGTTTTCAATTTTTTAAACTTAAATCCATGTAAAAACAAATTTTTCGAAAAAAATATTAAAACATTTAACCAAAGGAAAATAATATAAAGCCATATTTTTAATTAAATCATCTTTTTGATATTTAAACAACTAATATTTGAATAATTTCACAATTTAGTAAGAAACAAAAACTCACCTGCCCAATTGGCCGGATATTTGACCACAGAGAATTGTTATAATTTCCTATTGTTGTTTCCATTGTAACCAATCCCGAAGAAATCAAGTAATAATCGTCACCTGACTGAATTCCCCCTGGAAATGAACTGAATGACATATCAAATCCAGGAATCAAATTTTTTGATATAGAACTCGTTCTGTACCGTAGATTGTATCGTTTTTGAATTCGTAGCATTGATTCATAACTGTAAAAATAATGAATAATTTAGTATTAAGGAAGCTTAGATGGTAACAATCTGCAATTCGGTATAAGTGATTATTTTAAACTTTGAATTTTTCATAACAATATTTTAATAAGATTAAGATTAATTTTCTTTACTCGTATTTAATTAAATACCATTGTAACAAAGACATTATTTAATATTATGAAAAATTCAAAAAGGAAGGGCATGGTCCTTTTTTTTAATTTTCCAGAAGAAGCAAATTTTTATTGAAAATTTTGATAAAAATTATTATTTTTAAAGCAATAATAATTTTTTTTCTAAATTAAATATCTCCACAAATAATATAAATATAGAACTTTTTTTTGTATTAAATTACGCTGAAAACTTAACTTTATGTCAACTTTTGTCAATTAACAAACAGTTATATTTGAAAAAGTTGGACTTATCTGATTATTACACCAATCCCATAAATTAATTATATTAAAATATACAATGAAAATTTATTTTTTAAGTATAATATGTTTATTTGTACTACTTAACTTATTAAAAATTCTTTAGTTTATTTAAATCTATTGATAATTTTTTTTTATATTCTTCTGTAAAAAAACATCTTTTTATATAACAGTAAATACTAAAGTCTAGATTAATTATACGTAAAAAATAAACATTTAACCTACCCAGACCAAGTAACGTGGGACACCAATAGGTCTTTATTTCCTGGTAAAAGTTTTACTAAAGCTGAACAAGAACCACTTCCTAATACTTTTAGTTTTGCTTGAGTTGGCTCCAAAGCACTAATCAAATCACTAATATCGTCCATTGCATTTAACAAACTAAAATACAGATTAAATACAATTATTAATTTTTATTACATTAATTATTGAAACTTTTACTCACTAAATGTCGTTCAACGATAAACTCGGCGTGTCCTTAGACTTTCCGTGCATATATCCGTCATGTAAGCCATCTAATTGTTTTAAGTATAGACCTACCTAGTAAATATTTATTATATATTTTTTATACATTTGATTCGAAATTTACCAAAAACTTATTAACCAAAAATTTATCAACGCACTTGGTACCAATAAGGATCAGAAGCATTTAAACTTGACTCTATCCACTCTTTGTTATTAGTTATATGTTCTGTCAACTTAGGACACATTTGAGGATCCTTTACACAGTTATTATCTTTCATATTATTTCGCCAATGATAATATATTAAATCAGCAGTCAATACACCTTCTAAAAATCCTGCTGCGTAAGCTTGGTCTGGGTCTTTGGCTTTTGGCGATGTTCGAATTTCTAAAAAGCTCCATCTATAAAACAAATATATATTTGTAATAAACAAAGAGTTTCAAATATTATAAAATGTTTAAAGAATAAAATCAAATATTTAGAGTTGTGATATTTATAATGTAGTTTTTAATAATTTACACGATTAATATTAACAATGTACCTTTTAAGCTTTTAATAGTTTTTAAATTATTTTAAATAAACGTACCCCGTTTCGTTGATACTATGAATGTATTTAGCCCTGCCAGCTATTGTTTCATTTGGTTTGGCAATGTAAAGTTTTGGTTGAATACTTATTGATCCATTGGCTTTTAAAACAGCCACCAAAGTTTGATTTTTAAGTAATGCTGAACATTGTAGTATGTAAACGCCAAAAAGGAGCAATAGTTCATTACAACGTTTAGAAAACATGGTAACTGTTAAATAAAATTGATTGAATTACATTTACATAGCTATTAGATAACCTTATTTGTTGACTTTTAATCTAAGAGATAACAAAGTTTCAATTGTGTAATATACAGTTGAAATAATTATATTATATTGTAATATGATGTTAAATGTAAATACATAAAATAGTGAAAAATATTTATGCTAATATTTTGTTAGCATTTTTATGGCTTCATAAAAAATGTTTTTTCTTTAATCCCAAGAGGCTTCTTAAAATTATACATTTCTATAGCTTCTTAAATTTTATCAATTTTTAGGGCTTCTTAAAATTTATGTATTTCTATGGCTTCTTTAAATTATGCATTTCTATGGTTTCATAAATTGTATGCATTTTTAGGGCTTCTTAAAATTTATGTATTTCTATGGCTTCTTAAAATTTGAGCATTTTTATGGCTTCTTCAAATTATGCATTTCTATGGTTTCATAAATTGTATGCATTTTTAGGGCTTCTTAAATTTATGTATTTCTATGGCTTCTTAAAATTTGAGCATTTTTATGGCTTCTTCAAATTATGCATTTCTATGGCTTTCTTCAAATTTGTACATTTCTATGGCTTCTTACTTTTTGAGCATTTTTATGGCTTCTTAAAAGTGTGCATTTCTAGGGCTTCTTAACATTATGCATTTCTATGGCATTCTTAAAATTTGTATGTTTCTATGGTATCTTTTATTTTAGTTATTATGCATTTTTCAAGGTTTTTTAAAATTTATGTATTTTTATGATTTGCTAAAATTTTACAAAATTAAAAATTCCTTTTAAAGTTTCTAGATATAGTTAAAATATAAATGATTATCAAATAGTGATTGCAAAAAATATAGAATTAGTGTCAGAAAATTTCCGAGATTTCAGAATGTATTGTAAAAATATTTTGTATAGGTACTTAATATATACAAATTTTTATAAATTCATTTTAATTCTTTTGAAGTAAACATATTTTGAATGTTCATAGTTTTTGAACATTGGTGAATTTTCGGAAACGAAATTAAATTTATGAGAACTACATCACAATTTTTAGGGAATCAAATTGAATCTTAAGTATATTCACTAATAAAAATATCTTATAATTAATATAAATTCCATAATATGAAATGCATATCTATGAATAAAAATAAATATATATATTATTACTAAATATCAACATTTTTGCTATTTTTTAAATTTTAGAATGTTTCATAAAACCCGTATTATTTTAACATTACAAGGGTGAAGCGACACTATTTTTTATATCAACAACCAAGTTTTGCAATTATAAAAGCATTGTATTATGACTAGATTCCAGATTTAGATGCATTAATAATTTTGTTCAGCTATTTTAAACACAAAATCATGCCAGTACAAACTTAAACTAATAGACTTGAAAACTTACTAATGTGTTCTAACTGGGTTTATAGATTTTAAGGGGATAGGAGGTTAATTCCACTGAAAACGAAAAGTATTAATACGTTACTTTATATTTCAATAACACATTTGCACTAAATTAGTTTCTTTTAAAATGTCTCAAACAAAATTTATAAATCCATATAAAATCAAACTCTAATTATGACATTTAATTTAATTTTATATTAATATTTTTTGTGTATGTTTGTCGTCAGTAATTGCTCAGCACTTATTGAGTTAATTTTGATGAAAAACGCGTTAAAATATCACAAATATAATACAGACAAAATTAGATTCCACTAAATATTTTCAGTAGATAAATTGTAAAATAATTTATTGTGTTTTTTTATAAAGCATTATTATATTTCTCGTATTTAAAAACAAAAGAAAACCAATTAGAAATATTTGAACGAAGGTTAACAAAATTATTCCATTTGTAAGTTTTAGCCGGAAAATCCCAACAGTCTGGCTGTCCTAAATGACTTATATTTTTGAAATTCGTTTTACTCCAACAAAAGATCCCCAGTGAATCATTAGTGCCTTTTGTTGGTCCAGACGCAGCAATAAATTGGAGTTTCTGAGACAATTTGTTTGATGTTATCTTGACATCTATCGCACCCCAATTACTATATTTTAATGCTTCAATAGGATAAACACCATTTGGATCATTTAAATCATTCCTATGAAAAAAATAATAAAAATATGAGTCATCTCAAATGTTTAATTTTTTGTTAGATTCGACCTGAAATTAAGTTCTTATATATATTATCAGTTTGGGGAGGAAACTTTTTGACGGTTACTTTTCTTAGAAGCGTCTAAATGATTGAATCCGTCTCATGTGCGCATGCGTTTCGGACTATTATTTAAGTTTCCTTTTTTATAGCTTGCAATACATAATATTATTATAGCTTGACAAATATAGTTTATTACTGTTAAAGAGCAATTTATTAAACTAGTGCAAAAATTATTGATTTTGAAAGTAATAAACACTTTAAATTATAGGCTAGGTATGAAGTGTGACTATTTTTATCATAGGCATTTCTTTGCTGCATGTCTCCTCCCTCCCAGTTAATATATACATATTTGTGACATCTGAAATAATGGTTTAAAAATTGTTATCAACTAATCATTTTGATATTTAGATTATTTTCTTATATATAAAATAGTTATGTTAGGTATGTTTACGTTGCCATTTAAAAAACTCTAGTTAACACCCATTTACAGTAAAAAAGATGGACTTTAAAAATAATTGATTATTGATAATTTGATACTAAAATGTAATTAATAAATTATCTTAATTATTTTTATTTTGGAAGTAGTTAAGTTGTTCACGATACCAGAATTATCCTGTATAGAAATTTTGACATAACTGAACTTATAACGGTAGACGGTTTAAATGCATGATATGAAAGAGTAAAAAGTTATTAATGGTGTGTTTTATATTATCTGAGAAGCATATACTATAGTGTACAAGAAAAATGTACTTTATATTATGAAAATTATTATTATAATATAACATGTTGTGTATTATACAGCATTCGAGGTTCTCACCTAGAAGATATAGCGTTTTCAGATGAATATGGAGGAGTACAGTTGCATTCAGACTCGGGGTCATGTTTAAAATCATTTGAACGCATTAAATTTAACATACTTTGTTCGTCGACTACCTTAATTTGATCTCTAGCAAATATTCTTGCTCGAGGAGTATCCGAATGTGAAAACCTATAAAAATTGTTATTGCTTTATCAAACGCTAAAAATTTTTAGAAATATCTTTATCAGAATAAGCGCAAGTCTAAAATTTTTCCAAACAGATAATATTCCATTAATGGATTCCCCATCTATGTTTTTGTGTATTGAAAACTAACCAACGTCCATAACGATCTTGCATTTCACGACTACCACTCATGTTGAAAATGTTTGGAAAAGCAGGAACATTATAACTAGCCCAATAAGTTTGATTGATTAAATGTCTCGTTAAATCTCGTCTTTCTACAAATCCGGGTATTTGTTCGAGTACAACCAGTAATCCATGTTTAGGAATCGTGCCGTTTGGTTTAAAAAGTGAATAATTAATTATCATCCATTGATTATTATATGTGCCACTATTATGAAGTTTAAAAATTTTTGCCCAATCAGTTCCATCGCGAGATATTCGATTCGCAACCATAGATCGTATGAAAACAAAAATCTGATAAAAATAATAAATAATTTAATAAAAACATTGTATTATATAAAATGTGGCCGTTAACTAAATTGTTTATCTAAAAATGACTTACTTGCCCTATAGGTTGAACATCGAGCCATAAGCTCTTATTGTAAATATTGTTAGTTGTTTCCATCACTGCTAACCCGGCCGATGTAATGTAAAAGTCATCCAACGAATGTACAAAACCAGGATAAGAGCTAAACGTTATATCTTGTCCGAACACTAACTGATTGGATATCTTATTGATTTTGTATCGTAAGTGGTAACGTTTCTGTATCCTCAACATAGTTTCATACCTAAGTGCCAAAAGAAATTAAATCAACTCAAATGTTTGTTAAAAAAAAAATAATTTTATTACCAGTTCCAAGTAACATGTGAGAATAATAAGTCTTTGTAGCCTGGTAAAAGTTTAATAAGAGCTGAGCAAGATCCAGTTCCAAAAGGTTTATGCTTTACTTTAGTTAAATTAAGAGCAGACGATAAATCATAAAGATCTTCTTGTATATTCATCCAACTTAAATCATAAAAATTTTTAAATATTCATAAATTAAAAATAAAATACTTTTCTCTGAAAATGTAAATTACTGTAACCACTAAAACTTACAAAAATGTATCCCAAGATAACTCCTCCATTTCAGGAGTTTTAGCCAAAATATAACCATCATGTAATCCGTCTATTTGTTTGTAAACAAGTCCAACCTATAAAATAATAATGATTCACTGTTAAAAAACAGAATTATAATAGCGGTTTAAGTAATAAATAATTTAAAATACCTATACTAGTACATAAACAATTTTTTTTGTCTAACCTAACACTCCGTTCGACTTTTAAAGTTTTATTATTTAAAAATTTATTATTACATTTATTTGGAATATTACGTTATTACATATTTGTTATATTTTCATATTAAAACCAAGATATCGTCACATTACAAAAAGTAGCTGTTGTTTTTTCAAAATATTTTACGTAAAACGAGGTTTTTTTTTATTAATTAAAAAAGTATTATTTATTATGTTAAAACTAATGATTATGTAGACTAGGGTGGCCCTCAAAAATCGAATATCTTTTTTTTTTTACGCTACCCCTTAATTTTTTTTTAATGATCAAAAAAATGAGCTGTGCAAAATTTGGGACCGATCCGTTAAGGTTAACCCGTGTCCCCGGGCCTATTAAGTTGAGTCGAAGAGTCAAATTTAATAGAAATAACTGATCTATGTCTCATAACTTTTTTTTCTCTTAACTTAGAATTATAAAAGTAAAACTCAAGTAAAGGAAATTTTACAAGAAATTCAAAAATAATAACTTCAATGTTGTTTTCTCAATAAATAGCCCACAAAAATACTACATACAGTAAAACATGTAAAAGTCTTAAAAATACGTTATAACTGATTTTGTTGATTTTTAATTATTTATTTTCATTTTATTTTTTGGAAAACGCATATTCGTTTATAAAAAGATTCTAGAAGTTTAATATTTTATGCCAAGTACGATAATTATATTAGATTTATTATTTTATGGACAGTTAATTAATGATTAATTACAAATTTAAAAAAATTGATTGTATTATTACATTTTGTTGTATTATTTTAAGATAGTACTAATTATATTATTATTAAAGATAAGTATATTTGAGTTATTTTCGACAACTGACATAATTTGTGTTGTATAAATGCAGCAGACAATTTGTGAACACGTTAAATATATTTTACCTGTTTATTATTATATATTAATGATACGTTTTAATCACAAATATACAATACTTTTAGCGTCTTTTAAAGTATTACGAACTAATATTTATCTTAATGTAATTATTCCCACGAAATAACTCATAGTAAGTTACCATCAAATTTACAACTGTTTAATCTGAACACTGACTTTTTGAAAATTGATCCATCATTTTGGAGTGCGAACAACAGTTACATAAATGCTTTAAATACTATAAGTAAATTACGAGTCATCAATGATACAGCCTAGCGTAGCATTTAATTAATTTAAGACTACATTAATATATTAACTACAAATGAAGAACAGAAACAATACGTTTTACAAATAGTAAGTAATTATCGGAAAAAATTTCCTAATTGTAAAAAAAGTACATTATCAAAAAATATATTTTAATATTATAATTTAATTATTGTTAAAATATTTTTTTTAAAGTTATTATTATTTTAAAAAAACGGTAGCACAGTGGGGTCGAGGCACAGTGTAGACAAGACATAGATGGGACAAGTATAGATGATATTTGACAGTGATTAAAATCACTATCATAAGAAACGCTTCGATGCAAATCTGTAGATAGTGTTTCATTTAGAGAAATTGGTGGATTATTCCAAAAGCAACATCAACACTTATTTCTTTGATTATATCCTAATTAGTAGTTCTTTGATTTTAAAATATAATATATGAATAAATACTAATTATAATTATTAAATTTAGTATGAAAATAAAAAAGTAAAAAAAATTTAATAAGTTTAATTTCTTATGTCTTATGACCTTTATTCTATGTCAATTAAATTATATAATATTCATGAAAGTCAATATATTCTCCTAATAAGATATTTTAAAATAAAATAAAATACAAAACCTAGAATTTTAATAGAAAAATAGCATATTTTTGAATACGGTAGCCATTTGC